CTTATCAAATGGCACAGTATCGGTACTCTCGATGGACTATAATTAACCACGGGTTATTTCTATACGCGGCACGAAGAGGAAGGAGAGAGATCGGCTCGCGGAGGAAAGAAAAATCGACGAGTACGCCGACGAGGAGGAGCAGGTAGCCAGAAGAAGCCTGTTGTAAACGTCCACTCGCTTCGGGCTCCGGGAATAGATGGTAAACTACATGGCGCTGGTCCGGTCGGCGCGTACACCGAGCAAAACGAGGACCACGCCGCTGAAGGAAAAGGAAAAGGATGAGGAACTGGCGCCGGCGCTCCGCGTTTCTATGCGATCTCGACTACGCTCCTTGAAAATTACCCGGACGCACGTGAAAATTGCCTGGCGGCGCGAGTCGAAGAGTTCGATTTACGCCGACAACCCAGCTCTCGAGATTCTTTTCCAGCGCATTGTAATTTCCAGATAGCGGAATTACTACGCCCCGGATAATTTATTTATTTCAAAACTAATGATAGTTCCGATTGTTTATATCGTTCGAACCTTCGCTGGATCTCGTCCCTGCGCGAGTTGCTTAACGAAAGATAGACTCTATCAAGAATTGAAAAAGACCCAAAAGAAAACGTCCTTACGATTAATTTATACTGGGAGATCAAGATCGTATTAATAAGATCGCTATAGACATGTTTAGTTCTATATATGGATCGAAGGAAAGGGCGGATCCCACCAATCTAGGCGCATTCATGGGTAATACTTCTGAGCAATTCAGGTCAGATGTTCTCGCCGCTCAGTAATTTAAATAAGAAGATCAGATGTGAAATTTTTCTTCAACGTTCAAATGCTTTGATTTCAAGTAGCGCCATGCGTGGTCCTTAATTATGGGGTAATGCATCGGTTGTCCTGTTTTGAAAGCAGCATACTGTTCCACACATCTCCAGTGAATCAGAATGTTTTCGATCTTGCGACATCCGGACTATGGACGCATATTCGTAATGGGACATGACCAACAATATGTATACAGTCCTGAAGATTTATAGATTTTCTCAAACATTTTAAGAACCTTTTGCACAATATGACTATAATATTTTCTCAAGCTGAACGATTAGTTGTAAATAACTCTCAGATTTGAAATTGAGCACACGGTAGATAATATTATCTCTTTCAATTTTTAATCCTTCTACTTTATGTTCAATGTTGGTTGAAGAATGTACCATTTTGAAAATTTTCTCCCGTGGCTGTAGATGCGGTAAACACGGATAGTGCGAGTTTCCCCTTCTTCAAATGAATTCCAATGTCGCGTTTTAATGTTCTTTTACGCCTACTTCGACAAGGAATACGCTTTCATTTATCGTCGATCGTCGATATCCTAATAGTCTAAAATTAAATGCCTCGACTAACATACAAAATGTGAAAATAAATTTATTTCTGCCATCTAAAGAATCTGTCAATCGACAATTTTGCAGTTTCGCAAACCTATTAAACGTGTTCGATCTAAAATTGCTACGTCGTGGATTTTTGTATCGTAACTAACGCTATGGCCCATACAGCCATTCTGGAGTCTTTAACTTCAAATCAATGATAATTTCCTTCGACAAAAAAGTTATGAGAGAAATGCGTTTTCAATCGTGAAGTCTGGAAGGAATTCTGTCGAAGACAATTTTATTCAAAATAAGACTTTACTGAATCATTCTCGATACTTGACCGTCACGCCTCGTGATTTCACGCTTCTCGACAACGGTCGCGATCAAGTCGATCGAGACATAGTCCGATAGTCACAATGGATGATTCTTCGGAAGCAATTTTTAGCGGATGATGCAAGATTTCGTGTCGGCTGCGATTTGCATTCGCGTCTTTCGCAAGGTTCCGCGTAAGTCAACGACCATAACGGTTACATTGCGATGCAACGTAAATAGAATCGTTTGCAATTTAAGCGCTCTAAGATTTGCTGTGTACAGTTTTCGTACTGTTATCCGTGGAATGTTCACTGCAGTATCCGGCGACTGACTGCAGTCAACTTCGGCACGAAATACTTCGGCAAACATCTTCGTACGCTATAAATAGAATCCCATAACGTTTTGCTGTTCTACGCATAGACTGTCCACGCCGCCTTGAACCATAAGTATTGAAAGAAACTCGTCTGGTATTCCACCTATCTGTAAAAGTATTTTTTGCTTTCCTTGAAGTGACCCGAAGATACAAATCTTTTCGAAAACATGCTATTTGTGTCGCGGGATTCAACGAGGAACGATTCTCCGCCACGTCACAACAGAATTAACATATTATTAAGGAAATCAAAAAATAGAAAGAAACAGACGAACGAAAGATCTTACTTGTAGGATTTCTAAATTCTCACATCCTTCTTCTTCGTGATTGTAGTAAGATACCAGGGTTTATTATCTCGATCGTAAATATCGTGATCCTACGCAAAGGTGCAACAAGGTTATTTCACGTCAAATGGGTCGTTTTTCGAGATCGCTGTCAGAGATTTTGATGAAATTAAAACATGACATAGTCCACGTAAAATTAGATAAAGTCAAGCTCTCGAACTTGTGTAAAATAGTAATATAAATGATTTTTCAAACTCAAAATCTGATCAGTTTCGTGCGAAATGACCCGACAGCGAAATTCTTAGTCGCGCCTGGGTGTTATCCACTGTCACATTCGACGTCGTGCATTTAACAGCGGCTTCCTGTGGCATCAAGAATACTGTCTCCGCGTATTCTTTTCCTTTTTTTATATACTCAGGAATGCATTCTCGTTACATGAATTATTGATGGGATCTCGCGCGATGATCCGAGCTTCTATCGACGAGACAGACTCGTTTCCAGAGTGGTTGCAGAACGGATTTGGATCGTCTTCGCGGCTTTCTTTCGACGCTCGGTGGTCGACCGCGTTTCTTTCGCGTTGGCCGCGCGCGATGCTACCGAGTTCACGTGTTCCCCAAGATAATTCCACGGAAGGATCGTTTCTTGCCGCGGCTCTCGTCACTTATTTCTCGGCCAAGGGGTCCGATGGAACTCAAGCTCATGTTCATGGAAGATTCGCGGAACACAGGGCGGAAAAATGCTTGCTATTTCTAGTCGGTAGGTGCATCCTCGTCGCCGCCGGTTCACAAAAAACTAAAGATTCGTATCGTTCTTTTGTATCTCGGGAAACGGCTTCTTTCGCTTGGCTACGAATACCGTAAGACTGATCGCGAAAATTTTTACGACCAGCCTTTCGTGGATCGCATTAAATTCTTTCCGGAAATCTTTAACCAGTGTCGACTTTAAACAAAATAAGACGAATACAGAAGTATTTTTGCATTGTTCGAGTTATCGTGATTTTAATCAATTTACAGCGCATGCATTACATTTGCGACCATGGATTACAAAAATCACGGTAATCTCATAATAGTGCAGACGTTATCTCAGCGCACAGGAAATGTTTGCAGTGTGATTGAACTTTGCATTATGTGTTCGCGAAGGTCTCGACGTACGGTCGGTTTCTCGAACTTATCGAGGACGAAGTTTTGTTGAAAATTACGGATACGGGCAAAGGTGACGTAAATTATGACATTTATAGAAAGACTGCACGAACACGAAGGTTTCGATAACTTTTTTCAAAGACACTTTCCAAAGCTCTTATGTCATTGCATGTTACGAGCGTGCACTTCGTCGGTGACAAGGACGCAACGAACACAATTGGACACACTTTAAAAGTTCAGTGTTTATGTTCACGATTGATTTCATGTTTATAAAACGAAGATAGAGTAAAAATTGAGAAGTTTTCGATCGCCTCCAAAACGAAATTGGAAGTTTTCAAAATATTATTGTAGCACTTAACGCATTAAATATGAAATAATAATATAGTTATCTATTTGAGAACACAAATATAAAGCTTATGTGTGGTATTTGTCTCAGTGTCGATTAAATAACGGTTTTGCTGTACAAATAACACCCTGTTTATCATACAATGGCTTCATACGAATAGCTCATTAAAGGGTAATTGGGATTCCGAGGAGGACACCGAAAATCTTCCCATGTATCTTAATTTGGAAAGAATTCGCGTACATCTGTCGTTACAACGTCCTTGTTACCATAAGAGGAGGTTAATTGTGTAGGAATTGGCGTGTGTGTTGATTGGGTATATGTCCTTGAAGTAGCAATAATCGGCAAGGAAGCGCGACAAACATATTTAGTATTAAAAGCTAATGAAATAGCTTTAATTTTGGGCCTTCTTGTAGGTTTGTAGTATATAATATTTATTTTTTTTTATATATGTAATTTAATAAATAACTTCTCTCTGACCCTGCAATTTTTTGCTTTACTTTCAAACAAGAAAGTATAAACATAAGAACGCAATTTTAGAGACACTCGATCAATCATCGCATGGAGGAGGGTACTAATAGGAGGATAAATATATTTTCACAGCGACGTTTGCCTTTCATAAAATGTTTTAGAAAAGGAAAGGGCTTGTTCAAAGTAATTGGTTTCAAGCCTCGATAAGTTGAAATCCGTCACCGCTTAACTAGGTTATTGTGAACGCTCGATAAACTCGAGATTGCTATTCATTGGTCTTGATCAACTTAATCGCACATAGATCTACCTGTTGGTCGACGCGGATAATGCAGACGCAGTCAATTCATTTAATGATGAATAACGGATTCGATCATCGACGTAGAAAGTGAAGTAGCGAGGAGGCACAGAATAGTTCGGTAATGCTGTTATGCAATGTTGCAGTTCGAACAAAACAACGATACCTTAAATATTGAACAATTGATTCCCCGGAAGCGGGGAATAGAAAAAAAGATATTTGCTGCTTCGTGGAAATAGAAAATATTTTCTATTTAATACCGATTGTCCGCGCGTCGCGAGAAAAACAGTTATACTTTCTTGCAGTGTGTTGTATCCGCGTCCGTAAATAGCTCGAATAAAATGGTAAACCGGGAGTGTGCAGTAGCGGCACTATTTTTTGCACGATTATAAAGGAGAAACGGCTGAACAAGAGAGTAATGTGCTTGATAAAGTGAATGTACTGACCAACGTCTACGATGTGCTGAAGCGTTGGAAATCGCCTTTTAACGCGCAACGAAATCCTTTGCAGCGTAATGACATACGCGAGGACGGCGTACCTCACGATGTTTCTCCTCATCAGTCTCCCTCTCTCGTCCTGCAATGTGAAAACATTTCAAAATTATAACTCCGATAATCGTATATTGCAGTCGTAGAACGCAATGCGCTCAGAATACTTACAACAATTAAGAATATGCATTCACGAGCGTGCGCGCCGTCACGATTTATTAGCCGATGGTCACAGGATAATAATTTAACGCGCGATTCCATAAATCACACTAATGGCTCTTATTGAAACTTGAATAGCCTCGCGTATCCTTTGACGCGGAGAATGCGCCAGTAGATAGTTTATCAACATATTGATTGCCACGTTACCGTACGGGTGACAAGATTTTTTTACTAACGAGCTAAGGAATATTCATTCTGAAGTTGAGACGTTGAAGAAAAATGAAGCTAAATAGGATTTGTGACACGAGCTTTGGGGTATGCAGTTTACAATCGTCTAAAAACAAAATTTTGTACTGGTCGAATTAAAATTGTAGGTATAATTCAGACAATTTTATTTCCCAATTTCTCAGAATCTCAAATTTTGTACATTTAAAAATATTACATGTGCAATTTGTTTACCCTTATCTCACTAGTCCTATCGAATCATTGATTCTTTCAAATGGGTAACCCCTTAACGTCGAATGTCCTGAGTGTAAGGCAATGATTAATGGTCTAGGTAGTTTCACTAATAGGTATATAAACAGATTTAAGTCGAAATTTATACTCTTTATCCTTCTTTTCATCTATGACAAGAAGATATCCAAATTTCATTCAAAATACCATGTATAAGAGTAGGTTCTCAGGGAGCATAGGGTTGTCGGGCTCATTTATTTTCTTAATTGGAATCCTTTGTATGATTTTGCAAAGACTGCTGAAAATTCGCTAGTTTAACTAAGCTCCCGATGCTTCCAACGAAAGTTGAAACTAGACATAGAGATTAGAACGAGAGTCGGGAGTCTTACCTCATGAAATTCGAACGTGCTTGACACGTTGACAGCCATGTTACCCGGATATGCGTGACACGTAAAATCCACAGGAGACCTCGTCACCCGAATACTGGTGACGCTTATATTTTACCATGTTACGAATTATATTAGGCCGTATTTTGGTTAGATTGTCTCGATGCACATGGTCTTACAAAATCAATAAACAATATATGCAAATCTTCATATCTGGTATAGTCTACATACAGGGTGTTCAGCCACCCCTGGGAAAATTTTAATGGGAGATTCTAGAGACCAAAATGAGACGAAAATCAACGATACTAATTTGTTGATTGAGGCTTCGTTATCACGTGTATTCACCAAAAATAATTATAATTGACCCCCGCAACCAAAAATTATTTTCCCAGAACGATTTGAAATTTTTTAATTTAATTTTTTAATAACTTTTTAACGAAGCCTCAATCAACAAATTGATATTCTTGATTTTCGTCTTATTTTGGCCTCTAGAATCTCACATTAAATTTTCCCCCAAGGGTCGCCGAACACCCTGTATAGTATAAAAATATTTTCAAGTTGGAAAATTCTGTATATTTCCAGAAATATCCAAAGTTCAAATTTAATGTTTTTTGACCAGATTGACAATATACCTCGATTCTATAATATCGTGGGACCTGCAGATTTTGTCTGATTATGATGTACAATGTTATAACACGTCGAGAATAACAATGGTTACGAAAACCACTTACATCTTCAAACCAGTTATGTATTATTCTACGAAAAAATACATAGAAATGATAGTGCTAAGTTATATACTCATAAATATTATACGTTGCAATAGTTTTTTTTTATAAAATTCCAAAGATGACCTAGTTTTTTAGTCAGACTACAATACCCCCTTAAGCTTCTTAAACACGAATTAGCAGGCGTTCCCAGTTTTGTATTCGTGAAAGTTACGGCTTATCATTACGAAACATAATCTTGCTGGCGAGACGAGTGTCTGGCTCAATTTCTGTCTACGTTTCTCAGGGTCACTAGGTGCCTCCGACGCGACCATCGCGATATTCTTTCTTAATTCTTTTCCTTCAGACACGACAACGACCTATCTTTTCCCATTTATCGTACATCCAAACACCATATCTCTGCCTGCTACAGTCCTATTTATTACTATAACTCATCCACCTTCGCGATTCGCCCCTATCAACCATTAATTTATTAAAGTGCATTTAACTCCCTTGAGTGCACTGTTACCACTTCCATGAAATAACTCTTTGTTATTCCTCTGTCGATACTATTTCCATTTTGTAACTTTCATCTTCAAATTTCATTTCTTGTTCCATACTTTGTATTACTTTCATTCTTGTTATTCACAAAACTAGGCTAATAACAGCATGTAATTGTACCTTACCTTTATACCTAACGTATACTTATTTTTAACCTTTTGCGAACGGCATTTGCATATAATAGATAATATACCTTTCCAAGGTATCAAAAATAAGATGTATACATTGAGTAAAGTAATTTTCAGATATCTGTTAGTTTTCTGCATTCCCCTGACAGTTCGTGTTCCAAAATGTCCTTCCTTGAAGGGTTAATTCTATACAATAGTTGTTACATTTTCTTTCTACTCGGTTCTAATTTTTTGATACATTCAAGGTTGATACAATATTGTTATTATTATATTCGTAAGGGTGTGTTGGACAAATAAATTCAGAACGAACGGAAATCGATATCGACGATCCGCGCTCGCTTCAAAATTCGTTTCCTAGGCCGCACGAATGCCGGACACGTTTCCCGTGTGGCTTGTACACACTTTCCCCTCGTTCCTTTGGCCCGTGGTCGCGAATCGTCGGCCAGTTTCGAACCGTTCCAGTATTAATCGGAGGAAAAGCCCCCCGGTGGCGCCTGCCGTCTATTTTTCCTTTCGTTTCTGGCCAACGACGCGCTCATTTTGTAACCGATCGGTCGTTTTGTAATCACCGATCGCGCGGTGAACGATCGTGCTCGCCGAACGGAATGTAAATTTGATCAGACATCGTGGGCGAACGATTCCTGGATCGAAATTTTCCACGAGATCACAGATAAGTCGCGTGTCCGAGGATTTTTCTTATATAACTTTCTTCACGTATCCGTAACGATTCTTTCTGCCGCCCGAACGATCATCGGTAGTCTAATTGAACGTCGGTTCAAGGCGATTCGTTACGTATGTAGACCACGATGAATTCGGATGAAGCATTTTGTGGATCGAGGCACGTCTTGTACGTCCGATATAATGCATGCAACAGCTGAAGAAAGTTTGTCGAAACTAAAATTTTCGAGTGGCTAATAACACGTGGACGGTGAACGTTACGCGAGCCACGTGCCGATTTAGAACGATTTGCCGCCATCTGTCGAAGAAAGTTGCGCGATTCGAAGCAGCGATATCATTGAAAGTGATAGAAACGATTGGGCATAGGGTAAACGTACGAGTAATCGACACGTCGAGGGGTATGCAATGGTTTGTCGTGCTTAGAAATTGTTTAATTTGGATAAAATTAAGATGTTTCAAGATTTTATAATCCCATGTTCAATCAGGGTAATTAGGAAATTGTATTTATGTATTACTCGATGTATAAAATCTAAAGGGAAAGTTGAAAAACATGGCCTGGTGATCGATTCTTCATAATAACGATTCGCCCTAGTTATTGCTATGGAATCGAACCAATGTTTAGCAGTAACACAAAATATTGCCACTTTCTCGTTTCTTATTGCTTTAATATATTAGTGGTCCATAATTTTTCGTTCCTTTTAGTATTATTTTTTTATGACTCTTGGAACTGACTATTTTATTTACATAGATGATATATCATCTGAAGATTTTAAGAGAAAGGGGTGCTTCTATGTGAAGATATCAGTCGAAAGTGTAGAATAAAACTTTTTCTTACGATGCCTCGTTTTCGAGATAATTGAATTTGCAAATTTATCGGATATGCGTGCGATTGAATACGATTTCCTTGGCGTGTCTGTCCAGTATTCACTCTTTCTACTTGCTGGATTGAATTTTCGAAGTCTATTTTCTCGAGAACAAAGCCTCGTATGAAAAAGTTTTACATAACATTTTCGACTAATTTTCTCACGTAGAATCATCCTCCCTCATTAATAATATTTTACGTACTATCACGTTATAAAATATATCAAATGGTATTAAAAATAAAAGTGTAAGAGACGATGATCGTTGGTTCGTTGGCTATTATTTATACGTTTAGCTTAATTATACTTGATTAATTGTTGACACGAGCGTTTCAAGACTCTGACGTTGTTTTGTACTCCGATGCATGAATTGTTCTTCGCGTTAATTATGAAATATGAATGACTAGTGCAAGTTGCGGGCACGTCAACTATCTACATTGTTTCGATTAATAAATACACTTTTCACGTTATCCTCGTTCTCATCGTCTGCTCTCTGTTTATTCAGAAACGCGAAAAAAATGGGGTTAGCTACATTCCACGAAGAGGTTTTCTTTTAATGTGTCACAATTAGAGGCTAATTAGTTTCGCCTTCGGAGAGGTTCTTCGCATTCTTCGCCTGAGGCGACGCCACGCTATCAATCTCTTCAGGCGTGCAAAGCTCATCCGAGAATTTGCTTCAAAGGTTGCTCCGTTTGTAGGACTTTTAAATGCTCGTGGTTCTTTTACTTTCTTCGGCAAGAATAATTGGGAACCGACGTTGTTATGGTCGTGATTATGCAAATGTTATGCAGAAACTTGAATTTCGCCTGGATTTTTTTAGTCGTAATTCTTAAAGGTAAAATAAGGAATTCATTTATTCTGAGCAGAAGATGGGAATATAAATGATCCAAATTTACTTTCAAAATTCGATAACTCAATAAACTGGTCGTTCACTTTCCCAAGTGTGTTTGCTTATACTACTCATTTTATTGAATTTAAGTGATATTGTGATCTAATTTTGAAAAATATGAATAATAACGAATTCCACGACTTTTTTGGATTCGGCCCCATCGTTGGTCGAAGCGTTCGTTCCCGTAATGGACGATCGAGTCCTTCTTCCCCTGTTCGGTTCCGTCCGTTCGAAAGACAAACGTCCCTTCTTACACGGAATGCCGCGACTTAACGTCGCGCGTGTAAAAATGCACGGCTTGGCAGCTTGAAAAGGATCCTCTTCGAAGGCAGGAGGGGGAGAGAAGGCGAGGAGTCGAGCCATCCTTCTCACCTCGGGGCCTGAATTCCAATTAGATTTCAATGAAAGGCACCAGCTCAGAAGCTCGTGCTGCCCACTCGACGCTGCTCATTCACAAATCCGATACTTTGCGTTACGTGACTACATGACTGAGCACGGTTCTCTGTACGTATAAAACTACAGTCCCGTTCCGTGGCTGGAGACCTTGCCCGTTGGCTGGCCGCGTGCAGAAATTCCGTTGCAGCTCCTGCGGATGGCGACGACGCTGGGTATCGTTCGCAATTCGAACAGCACGAGCGTCGACTTTCTCGCGTGATGCGAAAATCGGAAGCCTCGAAATGCATGTTACGTCGTCCAGTTAACGAAGAATTGCTCGCGCGTGTAATTATTTCACCGTTCGTCCGTCTCGTGGCGGTTACTAACAAGTTGTATGTTGGATCAACAGCGAGAATGGACGACGGCCAGAGAACGCCTGTGAACGGGAACGTCGCACGAGGAAGCGATCCGCTACGAAGGACTCGATCGATCGCTTCTTGTTCTATTAATACAAAACACCGGTAGAACTGGCGGCTGGTTTTAAACCATGACACTCTGATTCGTCGGTTTCTAGCTGGGATGGGCAACATTTTATACGAATAACAGATAACGAAGAAAAACTGGCGTATGCCAGTATATCCGTGACGTTTATTGGCTCGAACCGTGAAATATTTCCTTCTGTAGTTCAAATTTTAATTTTTAACGAGTAACGGACGAACAGTCGTTTACCTAATATATTTTTTAATTTTTTGGGAGCATAGTTAGCGACAGAATAGATTAGTAATTTGCTAGGAAATACGGCGAACATAAGAATTGAGTCGTTTATCCCTGAATTAATTAAAATAATAATGGATAATAAAATTATATCAACACTGGTGTATTCCATACAGAATTTTTCGGAATGTGCATGCCGATGCACCATCGGAGCAACGAGGTGTGCACAACGCGTAGGTTCATCCTTCTTTCTCGTTACGATATACGTTGCACTTTCACTTCGACATTGTGTCATTGACCACGCGTCTCGGGGATCGTTCTTCGACGAATTCGTAGTTTCCGGCCAAAGTGAGTTCGATTTTGGGGAACCCCTGCCTTTCCTTCCTCAAAAGGGTGCCTCGTTATCGTAACGTCTCACGGCGGGACAAAATTCAAGAAAGTTGGGAATAAAGTCATATTTTTTCAAAATTAATAGTGTTACATAAATATTACAAAATGTGGGGTTAGATATCAATGGTCTGACAAAAACGCGCGTGGAAATGCGAAATTTATTTATTGTTCTTTTATAAAAATTATTTTTAAGAATGTTAATGATTCTAAAACAAAATTTATTGAAGCCTAACTGATGAGCCCATCAGCGAAATCTGTACGAAACGCCGATCAATTTATGTAAGAATTCTATTTTGATATTCCACATCCGGAACTCGTTATTGAAATTTATCTGAGCCCATGATTGTGCTTCCGGAGTGAAAATTCTAGATACGTAGTTTCCGGTAAAATATTCTTCTTCCTGAGTAGTGAAACTTTAGATTGGTCAAACGTTTCGGTTATTTATTTAAAACGTTGATAATAATATGTAAAATTAGTAATACATTTAATTCTCCATTTATATGCCAAACAGTGTAAAATTTAATCTTGGAGTAAATGTGCAGGTCGTCCTAGTTAGTAGATACATTCTCTATATCGAAAAACAGTAAAGCAATCACTACTCCAGGCGCGTACAAAATGCAAGCTCCGTACGAGATGCAGAGATCAGCATCCGAGGGTTAATTAATGCGGAGTTTACAAATTACATTCGAAACGATACGGCTGCATCGTTCGTGTAGAAGTGAACTTTCGTTATCGGTTCGTTCGACGCGATCAGAGAAAGTAACGATAATGGACGCCAATTTCTCGCTGGTCGTGCACCGTACAGCGCGAGCACGTGTAGAAGAGGTTCGAATCGCGTGCCAAGGGTCGCGCGAACAGCGTGGCGCGCAAGGGGACCCCGTCGTTCCCGATTGTCCGTTAACCCCGCGCAAGAAGACCAAGAAGATTCGCTCGGTTGCCAATTATGGGATGATCGTTCCACGCATTTTTTTTCGCTCCTGGGCGTGGCGTGACTCCGCGCTGGCACCTACTTGGGTTAACGACACCGAAACGTGTCACGGCAATTCATTAGCGTAATGAGACGAACGCGACAACGACGACCACGACTATTCGAGCAAGGCTGCATATATCGGCAACTCGCGCGTCTTCGTATACCGAGAATTTCGTCTAAGACACTGAAGACAAATATCCTGGAAAAATGGCCAGAACTAGCTAATAGAGATTAAGTGTTCTTCTACCAAGAAATTTCATAAAGTATTAAAAAAATAATATGTTCTCATCCATCCTTCATATTCATCTGACATTGTGACTTTGATTCTTTGGAGATCTGCAAAATGCATCTTTCAAAATTGTATGCTAAAGAAGTTGAACTATTGTAGGGGAATGGGATTATCAAAGTAGATCAAAACGTCTTCTATATATTTAAACTGAATGACTTGTTGCTTCTTACTGAAGATCACGACAATACTGCTTTGCTTAGCGCGTCTTTTTTTTCGTACTTACGTTTCCAGGAATCGCGGCGCTGATGAAGAGAGCTAAGTTGTCGGGCCAGGGTAATAATTTGTACTGCTCCCACCATCGTTTCACGACCAGACTCACATAAAATCCCAGGACGAACGACATCGGTATCGACTCACTGGAATTCCCGAAGTAGTATCTGATCTTTTCGAAGATTCTGCAACAAACAGTTATCGACGATTCTTATTTGGCTCTCGTGTTTGCGCGATGAGAAACTAACGTTCATCCCACCTACTTTCTCTCTTTCTTCGAGAATAGCGTCCGAACCTCTTCCGTTCCCTCGAAAGAACAATTAACGCCGCGATACGGCCGTTGAAGCGAATCGATAGTTTACACAAATCGTTACGGTTAAATATTTGTATAGTTGCTCGCGTATCGCGTGTGGTAGAGTTCTTGCACCGCCTCGCCTACAAGTGGAGCAAGGTTGAGGTGATACCGTCACCTAACGTGACCACTACCGGTCGTACATACCGGTAATTATTAGCAAATGGGAATTTCCACTAAGATTTTACAACGACCGACGAAAATTCTATTAACAGTTTTATTTTCTACTTTTGGCGTTCGGAGATCCGATGCAAACATAAGGGACAGTTGTCGAAATCCTACCTCACTGATTGTCATTGACAAATATAAAAGGCTTCTGACATTATAAATATGAAATACAAAAATGAGAAATAATCTCATACATTAGATGTAACTTTTGACCAATTTAATTTAAACGATTACAATCTAACAATATAGTGTTAGTCAATTTCTTTTAATTTGTCTAGAATAGGGATTAGCAGAAGTTATATTATGGATGTGTCGTAAATTTGATTAAGAAAGTGAAATTTATCGCTCGAAATTTTTAAAATGCACGATAGAAAGGGTCTTTGTATCGTTTCCTTTTTGCAGATCCCTCATGTCATTGTTCGGCCTTGCGGGGCCCTAAGCCAACCCGAAACCGGCCCTACGGATCTAAATTTAGAACAGGCGAATCGAAGCGAGAGAGATCTTTTTGCATCCACGGGCCCCGGCTCGTGCTTCTTTATCTCTTTTTTATCTCGGTATAAATAACAGGTTACGTTTTTATGCGTTTTTTAATGCTGACTGCGGACGAGACTGCAGGCCGTTTCAGGCTGTAACGTTTCGCGCAACTTGCACGGGGGAGAGGAACAATTTCATTTACGATATCCGTGATTTAGGTTCGCGCAATCTATCCGGAGTACGTCCATAAAATACTTTTCCTCTAATATTTTTTACGACTGCCATTATACAATTAAAATGCACGCGCAATAATTTATGTTCTATAAGTTTCTTTAAAGGGGTTTCCTTACGTCTCGGATGAAAAAAATCTTTTTCGTTTCCTCTTTCGACGTTTCTTTTTTAAAGCGTATGATTTGAAACACATTTCTAGTCCAATTCGATGCGAGAAAATTTGTGAAATCTCTCGAATTGTGTTTGTTAGATGTCAAAACATTTTTAGTCTGAAGTAGTATTATCAGAATTATTTTTCTTCAAATAGAAGCCACACTTACATAGAATTAAATCTGTTTATATTTATTGTTTCCAATTACTGGATGAGGCCCAATTGTGTTCATCGATTATAGAGACGTTTTTGTTAAGGTGTTATACAGCCATTATTTTACAATAACTTTGGCATTTTGTCATTTTTTTTTAATGGGATCTCTTTATACTATTCCTGTACCATTTTATCTTGCCGTCAAAATAGTATAACTCGTAATTGCTTGAATTGACATTTAGTTTTTCCGTTAACAGCTGTTCCGCTTCGTGAATCGACGTTCCCCGTTTATCTGTGTGCCGTAAAAAGGCCGTGGTAAGGAAACGACAAATGAAACGCGACCGTAAAAATGGAAGAGTTAACCAGCTGTGCAGGGGAAACAGAGAACCAACGGTATTAATGCTAATAAAACAAGGCCACCATACATTTGTCGACGTTAACTGATGAAATGTAATCGCAATCGGAACATTGGAGACTAAGGCTTTGTCGTTCGACCAAGGTCGATGCTGCGTGGGTTTATCGGCGGGCATAAAATTCACGATTATGGCAGTTCATACCCACACGTCGTCGAATTTATTTCCAATTGGAATCAGATAGAATCGATACATTGTTTCCGTCGAGTTCCCGAGAAACTATTTGCTTCCCATTGGTTGAAAGATATTATCGTATGATGGCATTGTTCGAGTAACGTACGAACTGATTGTAGGAACTATAGTGGCCTACACTTTTAAGTGAAAATGGCAAGAAATTGTACCACTGTGTGATAAGAATTGTTGCAGATAAATATTGGTGCAAATAATTGTGTCTCAGTTTTTCAAATCATCCGGGAATTTAATTGAATGAAACTTAAGACAAACTGTACGAAAGGTTTTATGGGAAACCGTGAAAAGGAGTATTTTCATTCACCAATATGTCTGATTATCAATGCAGCGACCTACATTTTTGTTCGACATTAATACTGATTGTTTAAGGTTTTAACCTCTTTAAGTCTTCAATTTATCGTAGGAAGATATTCAAATGAACGTGTACATGTACTCACACCCGCTGGTGCTCACTGAGCGCATATCGATATGTGAGATTGATGACGTAGTAGACGAACAGGTAGGCCAGCAGTTCTCGCCAAATTAGTTTGTACACGGAGCCCCGCCATCTGCAAAAATAAATACAAAGAATCATGATGAGTATACAAATATTATTCATGTCGTCAGAATTTTCAAATACTATCGCGTTATGACGATCACGATGAGCAAAATCTTATTTATAAAGAATACCTGGCCAGTGAAAATAGGAACCAACTAGATTGAACATTTGAACGCTTCTTTTTACAGATAAATATATCCGGTAGTAATTACATTAGAGAACAAGGTTTTTGTAACATGAATATTAATAACAAAATCAGATAAAAATCTGAATACTAATTATACAGTTTGCTACAACGCCATCGAGGCCAAATGTTAAACAGTTTGTTCTTAAGATCCATAGTCAGTCTTTGCGTAGTTCAGATGATAGATCACCTTTGAGAAAACTAAATTTTATATTATGTTATATCGTGCAATATAGTATTTTATTCCCATTTCTTTCCGAATTATTTTGTATTATTTGGTTCGCTAGCGAAGAAGATTACGCATCACAATTCTAGACTATTTACCACCCAGTTTTTTATTTCATACCAAAATTAATTGATTGATTGCAGAAGATTTTCCATAGTGTCCAAAACATTATAGATCAATGTTTTTGTTATGTTATAGAATTCATATTGGAATATCCCTTTAATAATGTCTTCTCTTGTACCTGCGAGCAGTTTCCATTTCGCAGATTCGTCGTTTTGCATTTCGATGGTCAGCGATCGTGATGAAACGCGAAACGGTCGGCGGCTTTCGACAAACAGGCATTCGTCCGTTTAGAAATTAGATTGCAGAAAGTGCGTCGCCAAACGATCGTGTTTCGACGATAACGACGGTACGGATTAAAAGTAGCCGCGGTGTATTCGGGATCTGTTGAGACCCTACCGAATGTGTGTCAGGGTTAGATCGATTTTACGAGCTTCGGGTCCACTGAATTCGCAATAATTTCGTGTCGAAACGCTCCGCGAATGTACCCACTGTCGTTTCTTTATATCGCAAGTGCATGCGTCTAGTTTCGTGGTCGTTCGCCCATTTTATAGCTATTTTAACCCCGGGCGTCTAAGGTTGAAATCAACGAAGGTCGACGGTAGCAAAGGATTTTTCGTCAATACCAGTCGCGAGGCGACGATGACTTTAAATTCAAATCTCGCAGACTGTAGGTACACCACGACGAAACGTAGTTGCAAACGAGGCCAAAGTGAAAAGTCGTGTATTATCGAGGACCGTGCACTGTTGCTATATCTACATTGTTTGGCCATACGCACATACACACCTGTAAATTTATTTTTTCCGTTAAGCACGTTCCTTTTACTGCGTACACAATTTTAACAATCAGACGTTCAAGTTGTTACAAGGAAATTCATGGAGAATATTAGGTTGAGATCGATGCAAGGTAGAAATTTAAGAAAATTACATCTGATGTAAAATAATTTCTTTCTGCATATAATTTTGCATAAGAAAATCAAATTTTCAACCCTCATGAGCATAGAGATCCCTTATGACAATGTTTCTTAAAGTAACAATAAACTTAGGAGAGCGTGTGGGCACATTAGGTGGGTGTTAACAATGTAAATCGAATGCAATACCTGAAGAGCTCATGTTTAATTTTATCAAGTACATAAATCATTAATTTTTAAACATTAATGTGCCCTGTAGGAATGTACTTTAAAACAGGTTTCGTTAGAAAAATGATTCAAACGGTGTAAGTTGCTTTTAACTGTGCCATATCAGAGAACCGCGCTTCGATGGCATTGAAAACCTCATAGAGGAAAAAAGCTATGAGAACTGCGTCGGATATCCGGTGCATTCAGAGCACTTTACCCTAATGTGTTCGCAAAACCGTAACAATCTGGTGTTCGATCGCCGTTTTATAATTACTCATTCGTGAACTACAATCGAAACATTGTATTTTATGGATATTCGAATATTCTCGAAACGCCTAGTCATCGTGTCAAGTGATAATTTAAACAGCGCGTGTAACTCGTCTCTGGGTTTCGGAAATGAATTCCTCGAAGATGTTTCTGTCAGTGACGAAATCTTCTTAGAAAGAACGTTATTAATCGGATTATAAATAGGGTCCAGGAAAAAAGAATCCGTTGGAAACGTGTGAAAGTATAGCGGTACATTTGTGATATCTTTCGGAGTATGAATACGTCGAATTCCAACGTTCCTCGAACATATTTCGAAACTTCATGAACGACACTAACGCACGAACCCTTGCGCGTACACCCATCGAACGTCACTGTTTCGACTCGATTTCTCAATCATTTTTCGGGCGAATTCGCAATATACGACGAATTTTGCGCAAGTTTCGCCATTTAGACGATAAAAAGGGCGCGTGCTAGGAAAATATACGAATATCGTGTTGTTTCTTTCTTTATGTGTCAGTGGGTCATGGTAGTAAGCATTGTCCCACACGATTCATACGTCGCGGTGCGCGACCACACGCCCGTGAAACCACCACGTGTGTGAATGCGTGTTACACGCCCAACGCCACATTTGTATCAAAGTTGAGTACATAGTAGACAATCGCATCATTATTACTTTTCTAGTTGATTACTGAACGTAATCGTGACAACCGTAATCATCGATTGTCGCTAGAATTAAACAATAATTATAAACTATCTTCGTAATCTACAGTCGTTAATCATTGACTTGCAAAAACAAAATAAACGAAATTGTAGTTAGATAAGCGTTTTTCTCACCACGTTGCATCTTTGCAATTAAAATTCTTATCTAGAACTATTCATTATGTTGCTCGTGTAACAAGAATTAAAATCTAAAAATAATACTCGGTTCTTTCTTTTTATATCTTCCACGGTTCACGCATGATCGTAAAACGTCTTCGTTAAAATCTTATATGCCATTAATACAATCGTCTTCCTCTTCGCAATTTTTTTCCACACTTGTATCTTCTAAAGTAAATTTATAACAAAACTTCGTAACAAATACATAATTTAGTAATGATTTTATATATATTATGAATGTACAGGGATTTCGATTTAATCATTTTGTAATCATAGTCGTAAATCATTAATCAAATTATATGTTTCGATCAAGATTGGTTTGTACACATAAGAGCGTACGCTGGTACGCGATCGAAGCAGTCGTCTCTCGTACTTTGACCTTCGTTAAATTTACGATTTTTGTCAGGAACGTGGAATACTCGAGTTTAATATATGGACACTTATACACACAGTTAGCAACGCATGGACGTCGCAACACGTTCATTAAACGATCCTCCGATTGATTCATTTGACAAAGAACGTTAATATAACGATGGACTCAGCGCGTTTACCGCATCATGATTCTTCGAGCTGTGGTCTTTGGAATATCAAAAAGTGACTGACTTGCTTCGATAATAGATATAAACATTATTTATTCTCGTATTGTAATATATCGCCACAGAAATTAGTCTCCTTTCTAAAAATTACTTCGTTCGACGAAGAAATTAATTTCCTGGTAAAGATGAGTTAGGAAGATGAGATATTTAATTTTTGCTGGAATAAAATCTATATTAATCCCAAGATTTATTCACTGTTGTCTATTCTTCGCTCGTAATAAAATTTGCTCGACTCTGTAGGACGGAAATGAACTCTACAAATAGAAATATGTCGGAGGATGTCGCGCCACGTGGTATATTACGTAGTACGTATTGATCATAGACTACGCGGTAGTTTAAAATTGCGCAGTATAGTAAATATACGTACATCCTTTTTTTATTTCTTTTATGAAGATTTACAATATAAAAAAATTTAATTAAAGGAGTTTAGAGTTTTAACGTTTCAAGTCACATGTCAAAATCGTAATTGGCGTCGCATCCTGGAACATTGATCGTAGCTTCCATTTGCAAGTAAACAGTTTATGAAAATAAGTGGCAGTGAACGACTCACCGCGTAGCTAGGAAAACTCGTTTTTATTCTTCATGATCGTTCGTATACGGTTGACCTGTCGATCGTTTCCGCCCTCGCCGATGTCAAGCGATGGCGCATCTCGCGAAGATTTGCGCGAATCGCTAAGATTCCTCGGTTGAACGGTTGATTTATGAAGTAATGCATAATGATGTACAAGGATGAGCGTAATTAAGCAGACGACCCGATGGCGCTGCATACTTTATAAGCACCGCTAACGATGATGTTTTGAGTGTTACGTCATTATCTAGCTGCGATTCTCGTGAATTTGTATATTCAGTCGCGAAGATGTCGGCGTCCATTCGCTGGTACGATCGAGCGGACATCGAGACACGTTCCGATTCGCACAATACCGATAATTTTCCGTAAATTCAGCAAATCTCAAATAGTAGCAAACTTATAAGGCATAAACAGATGGGAGTTGTATTTAACGTGTTACGCAATGGAGGAAGTGATCTCGAACTGTCAATTGAGTTTCGTGCAATTGTAGTTTCTATTCTCGTATAAGATTGCATATTCGGTCTTTGTCAGATGTTCGTGTTTGATGGAATGTTTTAAGTATTGAAAAATCGTAGAAAACATTGAATTATGATGCATATTTTATACGCGATGAATGGTTGAAAAATAATAGATTCAAGCAACGTAATTGATAGAATAGTAACTAACAATCATTAATGATATTTCTGTATAATGCAATAGTTTTAACCGCATTTTTACTTGCATCCGTAAGCCATTCAAAATGATATCCCATCTGCGCTATACTCTCTATACTATTCATATCTCGTCCTGATGAGAGAACTGACCCACCAACTTCTTGTGGTTTCTATTGAGCAACGACATTCTTACTTCACAATCAAACAAGAAGCAAACTGATTTTACATATCTGAGATTACGAGGAAAGTGCCTTTATTATCATATTCCGCAATAGATAACTTTTAACATTAAAATTTGCATGGTTGTAAAAACCAATAGGACTGAATATTTTCATTAAAATATCGAAACAAGATTTCGAGAAATATATATATTTTTTGAAAGCTTGCATATATGTAGATAGAAATAGCTAAAGAAATAATTTTCTACTTAATTCGGACTATCAGTCACGATAACAGCTGACA